AAAAACCATGTCACAGTCACAGCCCTAGACCTTTAGAATAAGACTGTCCTGAAGGACAGTATCTTTATAGAGGTTATCAAAATCAAATCAGGGTTACACTGGGCCCTAATCCAACATAGTAGGGTCCTTAGAAGATGCAGAGAGGAGAGGTGCAAGGAAGCTTTGTGCAGAGCTCCTACTATGTGCACAAAACCTTCCTGGGTGCTCGGAAGAGGAGTCATTCATATGCCCTTAACTCAAGGAAGATTCATCTTGGAAGGAGGAGACATTGAAGTGACAAATGCAGATGAGGTGGAACAGGCCTGGGAGGCAGCTGCAGACACATGCTGCAGAGAGGATACCACATGGAGGACAGGGGTCTCTGAAGGAAAATTGTCCTAATTATACCAAAAGAAGTACTTTTAGTGCTAGAAATGGGAGGAGAGGAGGCCACTGTGTGGAAACTGTGTGGAAGGTACTTCTCAGGGTGGAGCCATGAAGAAAGAGAGAGGCAGGAGCAGCTAGGAAAGCCTGTGCTAGAATATTGAGGGCTGGGGGGAGACTGTGGCTCTAAGAGGAGGACAGGGTGGGGGATGCTGCAGGTCACACCAGAAACAGCCTCAATGGCCAGAAAATTCTGGCAGGTGTCATATGAAAAAAAGCAAAAACAAAAACAAAAAGTCCTCTCATCATCCATCAGCCTAAATGAAGGATGTGTAAAAGTGGCAGCTGGGAATTCTGAGTGGGTTTAAGTGACTATAGGCATTTCTGTTGAGATCACATTAGGTACTGCCCTTGGAGCTCCTGCACTGGTGAAAGCATTGAAATGCAGCGATTGGATGTGTAGTGGAAGAGGCAGATTCACCTGCATAGGAACCAGGATGCCTACCGCCTTAGCTGGCTCACTTGGAAAAGGTGGCTCCATCTGCTGCCCAAGGGCTCAGGCAACCAACTCCACCCCTCTGCTACCCTGCATTCATGAGAACAGTGCTTGGTGTGGCATGAGAGTGAATTAAAGTCATTAGGCTCTCTCGGGTATCTCATGGCTTGGTCAGTTTGGGAGTGCAGGATCCTTGTCCAGGGAAAAGTGTTAATAGGTGTTGTTCCAGCCTTTATAAGAAGTCACTGTGTGCCGCCTCTAATCTGCAACATCTACATGGCAGCTCTACTCCTGTCCTCCTGCAGAAACCCCAAGAGTAAGCTATCTCCTGACACAGGGCTCCTGGGCATTAGGAAGGGGGTGTGAGGGAGTGAGGGTTGATATCATGGGAGTGGTGGAAACAACGTTCCAACTAGCAAGGGGACCAGAAGGGCAGAGAGGCTTATGGGACTACTGAGAATATGATGGCATAAATGATAAGATTATAGACTTTAAGAGGATCTCCACATGTTTCCATGCTTGGGAATACACATGGAGAGATATGGAAAAACAGCACCTGGCACCTCAAAAGGGTCTGTGAACGGTTGAGGGGTCTGAGGAGACAAGACCTTGTCCCATTCACAGTATGTGCACAATTCATTTACCCTCCCATGTGGAGTTTTCACTGAAGAGGCCAAGACAGACAGTGACCCAGACACAGACTTAGAAAAAGACTGAGAGTGACCCACAGAGATAGAAATGGAGACAAGGGAGAGACTGACAGAAAAGTGCACAGAGACTTACAGACAATAATATACACAGAGGCAAAGGGATGGTTGGGTGGAAATATCTTGCAAATAAGGCTATTCCAGACCCTTTGCTAGATACAATTATCAGCTGGAGACATGTAGACAAGACTGTAGACATGGCTCCATTTTGATGAAAATTAAGGCAAGACTATTTGACACAGGATTAGGTGAAAAATACACAGGGCACACAGTAGACAATACATAGACAATAAAAGTTGCCATCTCTAGGATGTAAACAGGGAATGTGGACACAAGTAGGATTCTTTTTGTCCTGTGTTGCAAAATAGAAAAATGAAGAGAACATTGCACTGAGTGACAGAAGCCAGGCAGAAAAGATCCAGTCCTGTGTGATTCCCTTCACAGGATCCCTAGAGAGTGAACTCCAGAAATAGGCAGGAGAAGGTGGTGGCCAGGGTCTGGGGACACGGACAACTGGAGGTGAGAGTTCATGGCGACAGTTTCCCATGGTGAAGGTGAGAAGGTCTGGAGATGGATGGTGATGATGGTCACTATGCTGTACACTGAAATCTGGTTAGAAAGGCAAATTATAGATTGTCGCTTTTACCACAATAAAAAGGATACACAAGCATAAAGGACAGAGCCCCCACTAACCCGCGTGGGGCCTTTCAGGACCCAGTGACAGGGCAGGACGATGGGCCACTCACTTGGCCAGCAGGCTGATGGACACAGCTCCTCGCAGTCCTCACCACATCTTCACAATGGCATCTTGGTCCAGGGGCCAGCAAGTCTCACCTATGAGATGGGCCTGGCTCTCAGTGCCAAGCTCTTCTGCTGCAGTTTCCATGGTCACTGCATTCCACCCCTTCTCCATCCCCACCTGCCAAGTTCTGAGCTGCCAGCTCACCAGGATAATGACACTTGTCCTCCATATTGGCCCTGACACTCTGTGTACCTTGCCTCTCTGTCAGCCTTTGGGGACAGTATAATGGGCCATTGAGATCCATGTGACCATCTCCTCTGTTTTCCTTCAGAAACAGTCTCTCACATCAAACACACATGAGGACACTGTAAAAAAGGCAGCAGCAGTGTAGAAACATGAGGGTTAGTATAAGAGGCACCCACCTGGACAGGATTTCCATGTGCAAGGCCACTGATGCTCAACACACTGGGACAGATGCTGTTTCCTTCAGGGGAATTGAGCCCTTCTGGTTGGGCCTTGACTCACACTTGCTGCAATAAGGTGCATGTGGGAAAGACAAGGGCATCATGTAGGCAGGGCCTTCCTTTGTGAGACACTGGCCTGCTAAAGTGGTGACAGCAGCTTCAGAGGGAGCTTCTATAAGAAACGGAGCTGCCACAAAGCCAAAGGGTGTCCTTCTGGTACTACTTAGCACTAGATGTCACACGGAAGTCACAATAGCAGTGGAGTCCTCTGCTTACAGCACTTCTATAATGAGGAATTTCTTCCAAGCATGTGAGTAGAAATGTCTACAGAGATTTAAGTGTAAAGTACATATGAGAGTATATTTGGAATGAAAAGGAACATCCTAAAATACATTTAGAAGACACAGCCACTAAAACGTTTTATAGTCTTACCATGTTACTCAACCTCAAAATCATGTTGAAGAATAATTTAAGAAAATAATTTCCAATTCTGCAAAGTGAAAAGATTTCAAAGATATGTGATTAGTGTAATATTATTTTTAAAAGAGAAAAGCAGAGAAATGGAAGGAGAAAAAAGAGGGAAGGAGTGAAAGAGGAAGTAGGGAGGGAGGATGGAGTGGATGTGGGGCATGCAGGGCAGTGAACCTTTTGGGAGTGTGAGTAAAGCAGGGTCCTGAGATAGGTACCTGATCTTGCAGGACCTGGGAGTTCCCCATGTCCTCAGGTAGGAGGGTGGAAGTCAGTGAAGCAGATGGGAAGGTGGAGGGCTGGGAGGATGGCAGGAGGCTGAGCTGCTGGCTCTGTGGCTGGAGGAAGAAGCAGGAGGCATGGCAGGCCAGGCCTGGGAAGCCAGGAGGGAGGAATGAGCTCTGTTTCAGAGCCCAGAGAAAGGGTGCCCGGGATGCTCTGTTCACAGCTTGGCTTCAGCTCAGTGAGACCCATGCATTTCAGACTTTCTAACTGGTAATAGAATAAGATAATATTAAATAAACAACTGTTTGTGTGCAAAATGGTATATGAATGCAAACAATTGTATTTGTTCTTAATTGTCCTGTAAAACACTTGCCTCTTTTTCTGGATTAAATATGCTATCTTTTAAGCCAGAAATAATGGCAGAACACAGGAATTTCCCTCCCTTGTCTATACCCTTCGGTGGTTTTGGTATTTACTGTAGTTCAGGAGCCCGGCCTCTGCAGACACAGAGACACTCTGATCACAGCATGTGCAGCTCTTCTGTGACCCAGACCTGGCTTCCAAGCATAGCCATGTACTCACCAGATAGCACCTCATCTGCAGTGACAGGAGAGGACTCAGGCTTCAGAGAAGCCAGCTCACTTGCTCAGGGCCACACAGCTCAGAGGCCCCATAGAAGGCTTTGTAGCAGGCAAGTTGGCTCTGTGGTTTTGGAGTACAGGGGACCTCTCTACGTTAGCAGACACTGCAGAGGCAAGTGGAACCCGAGCACAACCCTAATCTCACAACCCCTTGTATCACTCTTGGTCCCTGTGTCTCTGCAGTTCCCTCCACTGAGCACGTGGAGCCTGCTCCAATCCTTGGGGCTCTGGGTTTGGCCCTGCTCTGTGCTTTGGCCATGGAAGGTTGGCAGCTGTGAAATGACCAAAGCCAGGACACACTGCTCTATGCCTGGTCTTGTGCTCTGTTGCCCCACTAGGGACACAGCCCAGTCCAGATTGGTGCTCCCAAGAGGAAGGAGAAAGGCACATGGGCTGGAGCCTTGCCCAGATCAGCCACTGATGTGCAAACTCATAGGCTAAGTATATACTTCCTATTGTATACTGCTGTACAGTTGTAGGTTTTTGTTACAGGGCATTATTGAGACAATAGCTAAATGCGTCCCTGACTCTGTTGTAATTGCAAGCTGATAGGCCTTATACCTACTTGCAAGTTACAAGCAGGTGATCAGTACTACAATTTACAAGACTTGCTTTAAAGATCTGAAACATTCTGAAGATACCCTGAAATTTCTTTCTACGTTGTTTCTTTTTTTTTGTTATAGGGGTTGAACCCAGGGCCTTGCATGCATGTGCTCTACCACCAAGCGACACACCCCGCCCCACTGCTGTGATTTTCTTAAAAAAGCTATAATGAGCCAGGGATTTAGCTCAGTGGTGTAAGTGCCTGTTTGGCAAAGGTGAGATTGTGAGTTCGATCTTGGTGTCAAAAAAAACCCCAAAGCTGTAATGTCAGTAAATCATAGACTTAGTACATTCACTCAAAGACACAGTTATTTATTTTGTTAAAATCAAGCATGATACTCCATTGATCAGTAAGTGGGAAGTGTCAAGCATGAAAAATGTACACATCTGAAACAGTATGCTGAGGACACAGGCTGCACACATCCCACAGGAGAGATAGCCCACTCAGCAGAATTCACAGCTCTGCTATGAGAGGGGCAGGAATCAGCCATCACCTCCCAAAGCCCAGGGCCACTGGCAGCACCATATTTTTAAAAAAATATCAATAATAAATCTGTGTAATAATTTATGTATATGGAGACCTCTTTCATGTCCCGTGGCCCAACCTTACAGAGACCAACAGAAAACCAGAAGGGAAGCGTGTGCAAGTGCTTGGTGAAAACAACATCAAAGCACTGTGTGTTACTAAGTATAAGACAGAGTCCAAAAAGACAAGGAAAGGCTGGGAATGGGCACACACATTTGATTATTCATATTTCACATGTATATTATTAAAATGGTTACAAAACTCAATTGCAGGGGAAAGAAGTATGGGCCAAGACAGATTTTTTTTTGTCTGAATTATAAACAAAATTACCAAGTTACTCATGAGTGGATGGCCAGAGGCCTGTGTTCCCAACAAGGGGCTGCCAGGTGGAGGGGAGGATAAGCTGCCACCGCAAAGTCACACAGCTCATGGGAAATAGGAATTGCCACCTGTGGGAAGGCTAACTTCTTCAGTACCTGGGAGGCTGCCAGAAGTGTAAGGTAGGGGTAGGGTGTGTGTGTGTGTGTGTATCAGGTGTGTGTGAGTGTATCGGGTGTGTGTGTATCAGGTGTGTGTGTATCAGGTATGTGTGTATATAAGGTGTGTGTATGTGTAGGGTGTGTGTGTGTGGAGGGGATGTGTGTGTAGGGTGTGTGTGTATGTGTAGGGAGTGTGTGTACATCTTTTAGGAAGGCCTTGAGGGGAAATCTGTTCATTCCTTAGGGGATCAAGGAGAAATGTGGGACAAGTATTACATAAATATCCAGTTATCTGAGGGACTGGCTCACCGTTATCCACAGCTTTAGTCAGATGAACTTTTTCTAGCAATACATGTGGCCTATGATTATTAGGTGAAAACCAGAGAGCCACTAGCAGCTGGACATGGTTGCCCATGTTTATCAGCTCTGTGTACATCCTCTTGGGTGAACTGTCTGCTCAAGTCTGTTATCTCCTTTCTAAATGGGCTGTTTATTTTCATGCTAGTAGGTTTTCAGAGGTCTTCATACATTCTGGGTACAAATCCTTTGTCAGACCCATCATCTGCAAACACTTCCTTTCAGTCTCCAAGTGCCAATGGAAACAGCAGCACTGTGATATTATTTAATGAGAAGTCTCTCTTTGGAGTCTCAATGTCTCAGGCCCCCCAGAGAGGCACACAATCTTAAACTCTGCAGCAGAGAAGGCTCAAGTTTAAGAGTTAAGATAGAGCACAGGTCCCCAGGAAAGGGAAAGGAAAGCTCCCATAGTACATTGAATGGAGTCCTCAATGTTTGTGGACCAACTTGGTGGCAAAACAGAAACAAACAAACAAACAAAAAACAATGGTCACAAATGAATGTGTGCACAAAATTAATGTTCTGCGGGAAACATAACTAGAAAAATATTCCATTGGTCTCAGGAAATAAATAGCTAACAAGCACAAGTACTGAACACACATAGCAACGTACTCTCACTTGGCTGCAGAACATCATTTAACCTCTGATGCCAGGTGAGAAGGACCACAGTGGTTTGTCTGTCATGTGCCTCAGTCCTAAAGCATGTACATCATTTAAGTGGCACTTTTAATCTTAGAGACAGTACACCCAACATGTAGGTTGTCCATTTCCCAGCTGGTTTTCAACAATAGGAAACCATTGACATTTCCTACATGTTAATAAGTTATCATCCTCATCATGACTTCGCCGGGTCAGGGAATATGCTCACAGGGCAAAGCCATGGGCACTCATGCTGTGGGTCTGGCATAGACAAAATCCAGGGACCTATCCTTGGATTCATCCTGAGGGAAGATGTCCATCAGGGAGTCCCCTCTTCTCCACCCTGAGGATGTTCTTGGTGTCTTCCTCTGTGGCTGGTTTGGCATTGGAAGATGGAGGAACAATGGCCCTTCTGTTGGAGGCGATAGTCTATGTCCCACAACCCCAGCCTAGTGGATCCATAGGGACCACATTTGCCAGTGCCTGGAAACTTGTATAGTCACATGTGAGGAAACTGCTCTGTTCCAAAGGGAAACTAAATGACTCAATAGGTGATCCAACCAAAGCTATGTTACTGTGCCCTGGGATGAGTCTCTTTCCAGGAGCTCAGCACAGCTTGGAGCTTGTGTGCATGGGGAGAGGGCCGTGGACATTCTCTGCGAGGCTGACCAGCTACTTACTTGCCTCTTTCAGGCTGTAGGCTGTCAAGCAGGCACTTCAGCTGCTCCTCACCCAGGTGAATTTTGTCCTCCAGTTCCCTCTGCTCAATGATGAGTGCTGACTTCATCTTCACGAAGTGCTCGTAGTCTGCCAGGCTTTCCTCATTGAGGTAGGCAGCCAGGATGTCAAACACGATGCGCTCACGGCGGTCCAGGTTCTCCTTGAGCTCCTTGGCATCCTCATGCTGCTGGATGAGGACTCTCTGTTTCTCCATCAGTGACTGCTGTGGGGACACAGAGACAAGAGCCTGGTGATGACCAGAACCAAGACAGAAGCCCCTACCCAGCCCCTGAAAATGGGTCAGACTAGGGAGTTGCTCCCACGTCTGTCCATTGCATGGTCCATGGGAATCCCGATGTCACTGCAGACAGGATAGGACCCACACAATAATGCCAGGGTTACGGATGACTATGCACCACTATGCATCTGGCTGCAGCTCTCCTGATGCCATGAGTGGACACCCTGGGTTCTCTCCCTTTGTCCTGGCCTCATTCTCTCCCACCTGCCTTGAACGAAAAACAGAAATTGTGGGGAGCAGTAAAAATAACTGGGAGACCAGAAATTACAGAATGGGCAGGTGCTCAAGATCTCAAAGGACTTGGGGGTACTGTTTGCATCAAAGCCCTTTCCATAACAATGCTACGGGAAGGCTGGCAAGAGAAAGACAATGAAATTCCAGGATAGCAGGTCTCAAGCTCCTGACAAGAGAATCTGTAGGTATAACCACAGAGGACACAGGGCAGAGCAAAAGATAGCGGAGGGGACAGGACAGTGAGTGGCCTGGAGACTGGTCCCCTCCGTCCTTAAGAGGGTTCTGCCCCAGGGCACAGGCAACAACCCTGTTCCCTACACAGGAAACTCACACACTTTTCTCATAGAACATGCACCTTGCTTCCCTGCATAAGCCAAGTTGAAGGAAAACTAGGAAAGGAAGGGATGGGCACGGGGCTCTCACATGCAGGTTGGAAAGCAGCAGGCATTCATTGTCTTAGCTCAGATTTCTCTCTCTGCTGCAGGGCCTTGCACAGGGAAGCAAAAGTCCAAGCTCTGGCAGTGGGCTATCCCTGGCAGCCAGGGTCCAGACTTCAGGCTGAGGACCAGGGCAATCTCTCTGCAGCCACTGGGGTGCATGCAATGCCACAAAGCACTTTGCCACACAGCAGGCACAGAAGGTCATTGGTAAAGCTGATTCAGAGCCACTGTCATTGAGCAGCAGCCAGAAAGTGCAAGTGGCATTGGCATACCACTTTTGTGAAGTGCCATGGATCACAAAACTTCCAATCTCTTGACTCACTTCCGAGGAATGTCTTAGTCCTCAGTGTGAGTATAACAAAAACACCATGCATTGTCACTGGTGGGGGTGCAGGCAGGCCAATTTCCTCCAATGGAAAAGAAAGAATGATGTCTGAATCCAGAAATGTACCTTAGTTTACAAAAAAATCAGCCAGTCACCAGTGCCTGGCAGCTGCAAATGCATACACATGTGTGTGTGTGTGTGTGTGTGTGTGTGTGTGTGTGTGTGTGTGTTCAGTAATAATAAATGATTATTTTCAAGATCTATTGTGTAAGCACAGAACAAGACATTTTACCAATATTAGATACCTAGGAGCTAAAGCCAACAAGGTAGAGATCCTTCCCCTTCTTTCATGTATAACAAAACTGAAACAGATCCCTAAGAGACGTCATCTCAGGAGGGGGACGAAGTCAGATAAGCCCTCTGACCTTGTCCAGATGGCTAGACATACTTGTGTTGAATCACAGTGGCAACAGCACTAAAATGCTATCACTTAGCACCTCTGGCCTTTAGGAGGAGTAGGAGTTTGGTCTATGGACTGACACACAGTACAGTTAAAAGAAAGTCTGTGTTCTTGAGGGAGTAAAAACCAAGGGGAGGATCTGCAAAGGGAGACTCTTTCATAGGGTGCCCTGTGCAGAGGCGAAGTCTTGAATTCACTGCTCCCCAGCAGCATGCCCCACTCCTTCCTCCAAGGAACACGCAACCATGGGCAATGGCAATGCACATGGCGTCAGCCCTGCAGGGAGCTGCTCTTCCCATCACCCTGGGGACAGCTTTCCTTGCCCACCCATTTGCAGGTGGCGCATCTGGAATGGATACCCGATCACCAGGAGAAGGGCTGTCCTCCAAGTTATTGAGGGCATTTTCCACCCGGGCCAGGCGGCCCGACAGTGACAGCAGCAGGTTCACCACTTTGTCCAGGTCCCCGACAAACATTCGGAACTTGTCAAACTCATTGGGTTTGCAGACATCTTTGGCGATGGCTTCCACCTCCTCTCCCAGAGCATTGTTGGCCTGGATGTCCGCGAGCAGGCTTTCCCGGGCTTCCCGTAGCACCTGCAGCTTGCGGCCAATGCTGTCTACGAGCTCCTGCTGCAGGGGCGTCAGGAGAACATGGAAACACTGGTTAGCACAGCCTGCACCTGCACCTTGGTGCCAGCAGCCTCCCACATGGAATTATGCACAATTGGATGAACCGGTCTGTTATTTGTCCTTGCAGTAATTGACACAGAACCCAGGGAAGGCTTGGTTATATACCTGCCTGATTCTCCTGCCTCAGCCTCCCACAGCAGGAATGTGCCACTTTACCTGGTTGTGAGGTTCATTTCTCCACCAATGAATAATAAAGCATTTATTTATGATTTGTTTTATTTATCAGTACCAGGGATTGAACTCGTGGCCGTGCACTTGCAAGGCAGGTGCTTATGCCACTGAGCTAAATCCCCAGCCCCTAAAGTATTTATTTATAAGACTAGAGGAAGGGGAAGGACACCTGGGTAAATTATTGGCATTTAATAAACAAATAAAACAAATTATATACAGTATACAGATATACAAAAAAAATTTAAATACACAACTTCTTTTTATTCAGCTACTACCCTGTTAGACCACATTGGAGCTGCCCCCAAACCCCTCTCTGCAGGTGTCAGGGCCTATGTGATGCTCTGGGCTTAGTCCCCTGGAAATTTCCAAATGAAGACAGACACATGGAGAAGTGCTGGGTCTCACATCCAGTGCTGAACCCCTTACCTTGAAAATGCCCTGTCCTCCTTCTTAGCAATTAAAAATTTAGATCCCTGAAGAGCTGTCAGTGAGCTTAACAGTCATTTAATAGAACCTAGTGACTTCATTTGCACCAAGAGGCAAACAAATGGCTAGTTTTCTATTACGGAAAAGCACAGAGAATTTACCACAGAAACTGTTTTGGTGGAGGGTATGGGGTTGAGACAGCAGCTCATGACATCACAAGGGCCAGGCCTATACTCCGCCTCCAAGCCACGCCCCTGCACTCACTGCAGCCATCCTGGAAGGTGGCACCAGGCACATTCACAACGCTGTGCAGACACAAGCAGTACACCCACTTGAGCCTTCGTCTTCCCCAGTGGAACAGTGTAATCAGTGAACACTAACACAGTGTCCCACACCAGCCCTTTGGGGGAATCATTTTTAAAGCATGTTGTAGTCAGGGGTTTTGGAATCAGGTCATAGAATTTATAATATTATTTTATGATGATCACCCAGAGTTAAACACAAGAAAGTGCAGCAAATCTGCCCAAAACATTAAAGACCCAGAATATTCAGCAAGGGCCTGGATCCCACAGCAATGTCCTGCATGAGTCCAGATGATGACTTAGAGCTGATAACAAAGCCTCCCACAAGTCCAACTGGAGGTCTAAAGCCCATGAGAAGGATTCACGTCAGTCTCTTTTACGGATCCTGTGCTAGGAAGGCCCAAAGGTCAGCAGTGGAAGCTAGAAAGTCTATGCTAGTGGGGTGAAAAAGCTGTGCTGGTAGGTTGAGGGTTCCACACTGGAGCTGAGAAGTCACATTCAAAATAAGACCAGGGCTGTCCTGAAAAGTACCACAGCCATCCTCAGTGACATGGAGGTCCTGAGCTCCTCTGATGATAAGAATAGTTGAGAACATGCCAGAAAGCCAGCATGACAAGCTTCTTCTGGAGATTAAATAGCACACATCTTCCCCTCTGGAGCCAGGAAGCAATGCTCAATGTTAGGACCAGGGCTCCCCCAAAGTGAACCACAGCCACCCTCACCAAGATCTCAAGCTCCTCTGATGACAATGCTCGAACTCACACTGGGGAAGCTGGCCATAACGAGATGACAATGCTCGAACTCACACTGGGGAAGCTGGCCATAACGAGCTCCTCCAGGAGAATGAATGGCTCAAACAGCAACACTTAGAGTGACTACAATGCCCAGCTCTTCTTCTCCACATCTCTACGCAGGCAAATTTCCTCAGATGGGCCATCTACAACAGGCACAAGGCTGATCTAATTCAGCTGGTGTTTAGTTGACAACCAGGTTTTAATCCATTACAAAGCATCAACCAAAGACACGCTATATAAATCCTTTAAAGCGGCTCAGGGTTTAATCCTTTAAACCCTGCAGTGAAGAAGCACCCTGTAGCCTGATGTGAGTTAGGACAGAAGCAGTGATGTTTTTTGCCACCATCATCCTGGAGAACACTTCTCAGGATGGCTGTGCAGGAGTCTGGCAAGGATGGCTCCCTCTGAAAACTACCTCCTAACAACTAAGCCTGCCTCCCCAGCCATGGAGACTGCCTGTGACACAAGCCAAGGGCTATCTACCCCACCAGGGTGAATGCTAAAGCAGCAACGGTCAGCAGGATGAGTGTATAACAGGGGGCCATGTGGTACTAGCATCTGGAGCTGGTTGAAATCATCAACTGACCGCTGGCTTGGAGATTAAAAGATGAAGGCTCACATCCATTCCGAAGGACAGGACGTCCTATGGCAATGCAGGAGCAGCAGTGGCCACCCACTGGGCTGGGCTTAGGTGGTCAAGAGTGTCATGTGGAAAGGGTTTGTCACAGCACACACAAGGTGCCTAGCATGTGTCAGCTACTGCCAGCACAGGACAGGATCAGCTAGCCTCATGGCATGCAGCACTAGTGAGGAAACACCACCATCCTGCTATCCATATGAGCAGGGAGGTAATTCTCCCTAGGAGAAACCCTGAACCACTGCAGGCTATCTGCAATTCCCATGGAGGGCTGCATCTCAGATGCTCTGTAAAAAGTCTCCATCTAGCATTTCTGTAAGCAGAACAAACAGCAAAAAGCTGATGCCCAGGAAAGGGCTGCTGTCACCTGCCTTCGGTGGCCTGGTGCACCCCACTCACCTACAGATTAGCAGTATGCAGTTTTCCAGGCTACTGGGCCCCACTGAGATTCAGACACACAGTTCTTGCCCTAAAAGGACCATATGGGATTTATAAATTGCTTTGGCTTTTCTAGGTCAAGCTCTCAAAATACAGAGTGAAAAGACATTTTCTTTCCCTACGATTTAAATAATAAACATGTCTAAATTTCCTTTATGTTCTCTCTGTCTTCATTTTGTGGTGCTGGGAATGGAACTTAGGGCTTTGCTGATGTCAGGCAAGGGCTATAACACTGACCTACATTCCCAGCCCTTTTAAAAATATTTGTCCCTTCTCCCAATTCCCTCTGGGTATGCATGTTGTTTACGTGGATATCTGCAAAGATTATTTAAATCAACCCCAACTCCCACAGCTGAGAACATGGCCCCATTTTAAACAGTTACCATTTGAGGGAAAAGCATGAAACAGAAAACACACGAAAAATTCCCTGACCCCTGCCCAGTACCAGTTCTAAGTTGAATGAACAGCTCAAGGAATGGAGCTCTCCAGAGGCACAGGAGGACCCTTAGCAAGTGCTTCTCAGCAGGGACATTGTCTTTTTATTTTTTGGTGGTAGGAGTGGGGGTGCTTTGCCAGAGATGGAACCAAGGTCTCACACTCAGTAAGCACATGCTGTACTCCAAGGAAAAAGCAGTGTCTTTCCTGTGGGTTCTGTGCCCACCTCGATGTTCCCCAAACAACTATAATCCTCAAAGACTTCAAATCTATACAGGTCCTATCACATTTAAAAATCAATCCATGGTATTTTTAAAAATCACTAACAATACAAACATCCTTTCAACATAACAAAAATCTTGTTAAAAAAAAAAAGGCAGCAGTTTTTATGGACGTTGTTTCTGCCACACAGGGCCCACAGCAGGCACAATGCCATCCCTTTTTTTTGTCCCCAGGGCTCATAGCTGAGGGGGCAGCCAAGGCCCAGGAAATAAACCACAGACACACTGTCCCTGCACCAGCCTTTGGCCAAGCCTGCATCCCTCATATACAACTCGGGTGCCTCCTTGGTGTCACGGGCCTAGCCTGCCGACCCATGTGTAGATAGATAGCTAATGTAGCAGGAATGATGTCGGCTAATTCTGTCCACATCATCATGGCTGTTGTCCATAATTTGTTCCTTCATCCATTTTAATGTCATCTCCAATGTGCCCTTTCTAGCTCCCTTGGTTCCTGGCCCTGATCCCTGATGCTTTTCCTCAGGACTTCTGCACCCCTTCACTCTCCACGTTGGACCTTCCAAGGCTCACCCCTCATGCCCTGTCTATTCAGCCATGACTTCTGCTGAACCCCTCTACAATCACAGCCTTTTGTCTCAGTCTCTTTATCCTGCTCCCACTGCTCTCATCACCTGACAGAAGACATCAAGGGCTGGCAAACTTCATCTGTCGAGGACCAGACAGTAAACGGTTCAGACTTTGCAGGCCATGCAAACACTGCCATGACTTGGTTTTGCTACCATCTTATGAAAGCCACCATAGTCCATATGCAAATGAGATGTGGCTGTGCTCTGATAAAACTTTATTTACAAAAACAAGTGATGGGCCAGGTTTGCTGAGCCTGCTCTGTACTGTACAACTGTCTTTGTGGTGGTGTTCACCTGACCCATGAGTACACAGGCTCCCTCAGGGAAGGGTCCTATTTTGTTTGTATTTTGTCTACTGCTGACGCCACAGAAGCCAGGCTAAGTACTTGGGAGTGAACACTTTTGATTCACAAAGCACTTTCTGTCATAGGACAGGGTCTCACTATGTAGCCCAAGCTGGCCTCCAATTTGTGATTCTCCTGTCTCCTGAGTGCTGGGATTACAGGTGTGCACCACCACACCCTGGCCTAGAGAAGGTATTTTCTGATTGACTTTGGATTTATTTAAAATGATCAGGTTATTGGTATTTGAACTCAATATTTAAAAAAGGACAGAACAAGTGACACATTAAAAGCAACACAATTAAGTTTCCTCCATTTTCGTTTACATAAAAGAGATGTTAAAAGCTCAACAGCAAGTGAGAATACAGAGAATTAACCACAAAGGGCTTGCTTATTTGCTCTGTGTTTCCTTGTCCTGCAGGAGTACAAAATGCAAATGCCCTGACATAGTGCAGGGTTGGTGCAGTCCCTTCATTTTAAAATGGGGTTTTGCTGTGTTGCCTATACTAGCACTGAACTCCTAGGCTCAGGTGATCTTTCTGCCTCAGCTTCCTGAGTAACTGGATCTACAAGGCACCAGCCACCATATACAGCTCCAGTGTGAGGTTCTAGTGTGGAATTCCCTTTCCTACCTTCTTCAGTGACAGGTCATGATCTAAGTCACTGCCTGGATCCTCCTCAGGCTCTTGCTGCTGCCTCAGGTCCTTCATCTTAATCAGTAGTTCCGCCTTAGGAGCTGATGTGCTGTAGTAGGTAGAATTGGTGGCCAGGAACATGGCTGCCGGCACACTTGGCTCCTTCTTCCTGGATAAAGAGGTCAGAACTTCAATTAGCTGCAATGGTATACCAGATGTACCCTTAGGACCTGCTCCCCAAGCTGTGACAAATGAAAGCTGGCACCAGCAGGACAACCAGCTGGGATGAGACAGCCAGAAAAGGAAAAGAAAGCAGCTAACAATGTTAAAATGAACACAGTAACAAACCTTGCCAAATGGGTGCTCACAATGTCCATGGAAATGGTTTTTACTGTTGGCTTCATTTCTTGGTGTAGGGGACTGAACTCAGGCCGCATGTATACTAGGAGGTGCTCTACCATTGAGCCACGTGCCCAGCCCAGGGTAGGGGAATTTTTAACAAGGGCAACAACTTCATATAAGTAGAACCATCTTAAAATCTGTGCTACAGAGGTGACAGCCCAGATTGTGCATGTGGAGAGCTGGGGGCTGACAGGGATGAGGACCACATAGATAGTACAACAAATGCCAACCCTTTCACAGCTGGTCTCCTTGGTTTCCCTTGAGCCTGGCTTAGATTTGTCCTTGTTCCTCCTCTGCTGCCCTTCAGAGAGAGGCACTGCTCTGCTGCCTCCAAATAATGCTTGTGACGACAGAGGACATGCAGGAAAGATGGTACTGCATGCACCCAAATGCAGTCAAGTGAGTGTTACTTACAAAACTAAAACCAATGTGTGGAAGATGACCTGGGAAACTCTTCTTGAATGCAGAACACCTGCTGCAACCTTAGTTAAGTTGAGTCTTATTTCCATGTACTGATATGTACAGAGCTGGCTATGCTATTTCCTTCCCCCTAAAATTGGCTCCAAGTGACACAAATAAGGCCAACTAAGGTACTAATATGTGATCCTGAAAGCCAATCTTTTTTTTTTTTTTTATCGGTACCGGGGATCGAACTCACAACTGCCTGCTTGCAAGGCAGGCGCTTATGCCGCTGAGCTAAATCCCCAGCCCCCCTCAAAGCCAATCTTACAGGCTCCTGTTTCCTCCTATAGTGCTTCCTGTAAAGGATTGAAAGCACAGACAGATGGCAGAGCCACTCAGCTCCAGGAATGTCAGCTGGGTACGAGCCTCAAAGTAAGAGGCTATGAATTCCCAGGGCACAAAAGTTTACATATCAGAAACTGAAGCAACAGCCTCCTTAAACCATTCCTATGCTACCCTTAATTGATTTGTGCAGCCTGATCCATCTGCATGATTCTTCCCTGCATATTGCAAAGATACTTTTCTCCCCACCTGACTAGCTAGCTCCAGCTACTCGAATAATTCCTGCTGTCCTGTCACTCATCTTTGAACCACTTTCTTCTTCACGAGATAATATGTTCAGGGAGAGGCCTTGGATCAAGGCCTTGGTCCCTATATCCTCACTTGGATGGGGCTTAGAACCCCTTAGCTGTCCATAACTTTAAATATGTTTTAGTGTCTTTACTGTCACCATAGATTACATTGGAAGTGGCAGATTAGAATTAACTCACTGGAATTCCAGTAACGTTTCTATGGGATTATAAATATAACTCTCTGGATTATGAGGTGAACTGGAAAAAGATTACAACATTTGGATTACAATATACAGCATTTTGGTGACAATATATAATATTGGGGCTTCAATACCACTGTGTTCACGTAGAGGTTAATACATTTTTCAGTCCAACAAACTGTCCAGAATGTCCCTGCAGCAATAGGTAGGCTTGAGCCAAGAGGCCACAATCTACCAACCCTTGGTGTACAAGCCTTCCAGGGACCTCCATACCTTCTCTGGATCCTTTCTATCCCAGCTTTGTTTGCTCACTTTTAAAACAGGCTGAGAGCATTATGCTGGTCTCTTCCCACCAGAGACCAGGATCTTCCTGTCCTGTGTACCAGCCTAAGAATCCCTGGACCAAATTGACTGGCCCTGGGGCAGTGAATGACCTCTCCAAGAACCTGTGTTAAGGAAAGGAACTCTGCAGGCATCATGCTGACCAGTCAGCCTCCAAAGTCAGTCACAGACTTGAGGTGCTGCATGTGTGAGAGTTGACCCCCCTGCTATAACCCCCTCCCCGAGTTATAAAAAGCAGCAAAGAATGTTTCACTCCCTAACTCCCCAGAGCGGGGAATGAAAGGGTTAACTCCCTAACTCCCCAGAGCGGGGAATGAAAGGGTTAACTCCCTAACTCCCCAGAGCGGGGAATAAAAGGGTTAACTCCCTAACTCCCCAGAGCTATCAGAGCAGAGCAGAAAGAAATACCTAACTCCCCAGAGCTATCAGAGCAGAGAAAAAAAAAAAGAAAGAATGCACCTGCAAGGTTGTTCTGTCTCAACGAGATAAGTAAGACAAGTAACTGTTCTGTTCTGGGCACATAGTGACTGGGCTAGGACCCCCAGTCTCCATGGTTACTCAACCCCAAACCCCTCCAATCAATTTCTGCCAAATCCTATGCTGCTCAAAATTAACCAATGCAATCTGCTTCTGTAAACTCGCTTGCCTCCCGTTTGCACCCTTAAAAACCCTACACGATTCCCCCTCAGGGCCCTCCGCACTTGTTTGCCTGGAGGACCCCATGCGCATGGAAATAAACTTTTTTCCCTCACCAAGAGTTGAGTCCTTGGGGTCTCTTTCCCTGCGGCATCAGCCCTAACACGTGAACTTTCCCGCCTTTGTCAGGCCCTAAGGTCGGCAAGTCTGCAGCTCAACCTCTCCCTAGGGATACCTGTGGAGAAGCCATGGGCACTGGGGGCTCCCAGGAAGATCTGTCCCAGGCTGAGAGGGCAATCATGGAAATGCACAGATAAGCCCTCCTCCTTCCTTTTCACTCTTAAGAGATGTGGGCAGAATCACGAACCCGCTGGAGGGCAGCATCTACTCACTTCTCCTCTGAGGTCCTGGGAGAAGGGATTTTGGGGAGCAGTTTCCTTCGCTGCTGAGCCTCTTCCAGAACATGCTCGTCTTTTGGGAAGATTCCTTCCATCAGGTCCATGGTGGTTTTGATTTTCAAGCTGGGATCAAAGATGTCGGCCAAGGACTTATCCTTGCCCACGATTTCCCTGGCTAGCTCCTCAGACTTCAGGTCCTCCACGGTCTTCTCTTTGGTCTTTGCATAGCTGAACCCTGGAGGGGAGGCACAGACATCTGATGCATGGGCTGTGGGAGGCACAGAGGGTTGGGGTGCAGGTAGCTGGTCCCTCAGTGTGGCCTCAGCCTCGGCACCCTGCCGTGTGTACACGCAGAAGCGGAAGTAGCTCTGCTCTGACATGCGTAATGTCTTGATCTGGTCCTGCTCCAGCCCATTCAGCAGCGCAGGCAGCTGGGCCAGGCGTGCCAGGCTCTGGCAGCTTTCCTTCTTGGGCTGGCTCTCCGAGTGCACGATCTTGATGGGTACCATCTTCAGCATGGGGTTGTTGTCTATCACCCGCTCGATTCTGGAAGACAAGGGCCCAACTCTGAAACTCTGAGATGGACCCCACCCTTCCGGGGCGCTCAACCGGCAAGTGCTGCCAGTTCGAATGGGCTAGGAGGCTGAGAAGGTGCACCTGTGAAAGCCCTCCCCACTGGTCTCCCTGACCTACAGACCACTTCCCTACTAGCTTGGAAGACAAGAGGTAGGTAGCTGGCTGACTGAGTGACTCAAGGATAGGCCCATATTTCTTTGTTTTCTTCCCATTCACAGTGCAGACAGTGACAAGTTCGTTATTTTTTTTTTTTGTGGACTTTTTTTTTTTTTAATTTTAAAGAGGAAAAAACCCAAGAAAAATAAAACAATAAAATCTATCAAAATAAATCAGAATAAGTGATACCAGATTTCCAAACCATATGAAATCATTATCAATTACCACAATGCGTATGTTGCCTTCAAAAGAGCTGCAGATACCACATTTTCCATATTAACAATGAAACAGAACAGGGTAGTGAAAGGGTTAACTCCCTAACTCCCCAGAGCTATCAGAGCAGAGCAGAAAGGAATGCCTAACTCCCCAGAGCTATCAGAACCGAGCAAAAAAAAAAAAAAAAAAATGCACCTGCAAGGTTGTTCTGTCTCAACGAGATAAGTAAGACAAGTAACTGTTCTGTTCTGGGCACATAGTGACTGGGCTAAGACCCCCAGTCTCCATGGTTACTCAACCCCAAACCCCTCCAATCAACTTCTGCCAAGTCCTATCCTGCTCAAAATTAACCAATGCAATCTGCTTCTGTAAACTCGCTTGCCTCCCGTTTGCGCCCTTAAAAACCGTACACAATTCCCCCTCGGGGCCCTCCGCACTTGTTTGCCTGGAGGACCCCATGCGCATGGAAATAAACTTTTTACTCCTCACTACGAGCTGAGTCCTTGGGGTCTTCTCCCTGGGACACCGGTTCTTACATATGGAGGCCCTAGCGAGATAGTATGTCTCATGGGAGACGACCTCAATGGCTCCGCCTTACACCGTGGGTGAGTACGACCAGTCACTTTTGTTTACTTTCATTTTGAGATCGATCTACCAGTACTTTACGCCCCCGAGCCGAGCTGCTCCAATCTAGGGGCAATTTCTGTTATCTGTTCTCTGGTGACCGGGGGACGCCCCACACGGTTTTCCGTGACTCACCGTCTGCGATAGGATTTTCCTATCGGTCTGGGGAATTTCATTCCCAATCTGTGGTCCTTCTGGGCCAATCTGGGGAATTTCATTCCCAATCTGTGGTCCGTCTGGGCCAATCTGGGGAATTTCATTCCCAATCTGTGGTCCGTTCGGGCCAATCTGGAGGCACCCCCTAAGGTGACTCGTCTGATGTGAAAGTAATGCGTGAGAGTGAGGTGGCCGGCCTGTTTGTCCTGTGTGTTGTGACTGTTGTGATCGGTTATTTGTTGTGTCGCGCGTACGCTAACCACTCTTTGTCTTCAGAACATCATGGGACAAACGACATCGTCCCCATTGTCCCTCACCCTCGACCATTGGTCGGAGGTTCGAGAGAGGGCTCACAATCTCTCCTTACAGGTTAAAAAAGTAAATGGCAGACTTTCTGCTCGTCTGAGTGGCCCACATTCTCCGTGGACTGGCCACCGGAGGGGACTTTCCACCTTCCCCTCATCTTAGCAGTTAAGAACATCATCTTCCGCCCCGGACGAGAGGGCCACCCCGACCAGGTCGCCTACATCTTGGTATGACAGGACCTCAGGGAGGAGCCCCCACCGTGGGTAAAACCCTTCCTTCCTCCGCCCTCTCCTTGGTTGCCTATTTAAACTTGTTACTAACTTAGGGGCTTGTTGCCCATTTCTGTTGCAGGATCCATATGGCTTATTAGATTCAAGGTTCATGATAAGAAAAATTATTTCCTTTAGCTCACCAAACTATGCAAGAAGCTCCCTTTGTTTGTGTCTTTAATGTTGTGGCGCCTTGTTTAATATGTAAGACTTCAATTGATTGCTTGCAACCTCAGCATGCCTTTTAAAAGGAGTATTTTTTTCTCTCTGGTGAAAATGTAAACATGTGCACATATATATGTATATCTATGGTTATTAAGAATCATATCAACTTTACCAAGTGAAAACCAGGTCATACTGTAATTGAGCCAGTAAAAAGGTTATAGTTTTTTTTTTTTTAAAAAAAAACAGCATTTTAATGTGGTAAAAAGACATAAAATAATTAAATATGATTTAGACTACTAGAAGGTGACTTCAAAGTTCTGTTGTGAGTTTTAATGTTGTCTGAGAAACGAGAAAAAAGGTAATTGACCGGTAATAGTAAAAAGGAGAAAAAATAAAGTGGTTTGTTTTCAAGTAAAAATATCTGGCTGTGCCAGAATATAAAAAAAAAGATAAAACTTGGAGGTATATTGTAAGTTATAAAAAGCACGAGATGATGTGAATTTTATTTGTCTTGGTTATAGTACTAAAAACAGCAGGTTTGACAAAAAGTAAATGTGTTCAAAATTTGACAATATTAGATCAGTTTTGGTAGATTTATTTATAAGATTCTAAACCTTTGCTGCAAGGTGTTTCCATTAATATGAGATTATAGATGATAATAAAGTTAAGATATAAGTTCTTACATGTGCTGTGGACATCTGGGAGATTATATGGCACAATTTTGTTACCTGTGAAAAAGCTTCTTTTTGTTAAGTATTTAATTTCAATAAAATGATGTAATGCCACGTGACAGCCTGGGACAAAGGATGATGTGCCATCCAGAAAAAGCCTGCTCTCTGATCCGGAATGCCAAAACCATGTTTTCCCTTTGTTCCATCCCAATTGGACATCCAGAGGTAAGGGGGTTTCCCCAGCATCGCCAGTTGTTCTCTTTGTAGCTCAGTCGGCCCCACATGTTAGACAAAAATTACAAAGGTTTGAGAGGTTTAAAAAAATGCCCCTCAGCCAGTTAATAGAGATAGCACAAAAAGGTCTTTAAAAACTAAAAAATTTATAAAAAGATAGCCAAGATGTTAAAATTGCTCTATAAAAAAAAAAAAAAAACTTTTAAAAACAGACGAGAGTTTCTGGGGACAATTGGATACTGTAGGCTAAATTTTACTAAAATGCTTGCCTCTATATGACTCCCATAAGGGAGAAACTCAAAATTCGCTGAACTGGACTGATAAATGTAAACAGGCCTTCCAACAGCTCAAGCGGGCCTTGACAGAGGCCCCAGCCCTGGGACTCCCTGACGTTACCAAGCCTTTCATCTTGTTCATAGATAAACTCAGGGACATTGCCAAAGGAGTCCTAACTCAGGACATTGGCCCTTAAAAGAGGCCTATAGCCTACCTCTCCAAAAGACTTAATCCAGTAACAGGAGTGTGGCCCCCTGCCTTAAAATACTAGCTACTGTGACAATGTTACTTAAGGAAGCGAAAAAACACGCTTTGGGCAAGTGATTTCTGTGGTAACCTCTCACAGTTTAGAGACTCTTATCAAAACCCCTCCTAAAAAAGGCTCTCCAATGCCAGAATTCTACTGTCAAGCCCTGCTTCTAGACCCAGAGTCAGTGATATTCAAGACTTCTTCAGCTTTAAACCCAGCCACCCTTATGCCTGATGATGACTTGGAGGAACAAAGGACACCTCTCCATGAGTGTGCTGACATCCTCAAACTGCAGCGGAACCTACAGGCTGATCTTACTGACCAGCTTTTGGAAAATGCCGACAACTGTTCGATGGAAGCAGCTTCATCCAGAACGGCAGAGACAGATGAGTGGCCGGGACAGCAGTGACCACCAAAAAGGAGGTACTCTGGGTTAAAGGGTTAGAGCCTGGCACCTCTGCCCAAAATTCGGAGCTCATTGCTTTGACTGATGTACTAAAACTAGCCACGAAAAAGAGGGTAAACATCTATACTGATAGTAGATATGCTTTTGCTACTATACATATACATAGAGCCATCTATTAAGAGCGAGGTCTCTTAACCTTGGCCAGAGCTAAGATTAAAAAAAAAAAAAAAGAGGGCTCCACAAATCCTGAATTTGCTGGCAGCAGTCTGGCTGTCAGCAGATTGCTGCTATTCACCTGAGGAAACAATTTGGCAGATCAGGCCGCTAAAAGAGTAACAATCACATCAGAGAGGCCAGCCGAAAAAGTAACTGCTCTGATGCGAGTCCCCCCGACCTTATCAGAACCAGTCTACACAAAAAAAGACTACACTGGTTGTTGTGAGCCATCTAACGGATTCCAGTCCCTGTGACTAAAAGACAAATACAAAATTTCTAGGAGCCACAGGACTGATCCAGAGTTTGGGACCCTGGCAGAGGCCTGTTGCCTACCTTTCCAAGAGACTTGGTTCTGTGGCAGCCAGATGGCCACCCTGTCTGCGGTGATTTCATCAATGGCCCCCTCATAAAAGAGGCTTAAAAATTGACTTTTGGACACAAACTCTTAATTGTTTCCTCCTATTCACTGGAGACTCTCATCAAGGTCCCACCAGACTGATGGATGTCTAATTCCTGAGCCATACATTATCAGGCACTATTTCTGGAAACAACAGCTTCAAACTCGGCTACTTTGCTGCCTGAGGATGATCCCTCGTTGCCTCATTGATCACCTCACGGAACATCGACCTTATCTAGTTGATAAGCTACTGTCTAGAGTTCCATCCTACTTCTCTGATGAAAACAGTTATGTCTCTCAAGAGCCCATTTGCACTTAAAAAGACCAGCATCTGGCAGCTCAACTTCCAAGAGATTCCGGGGGCTAATATCAAGCTAGCCCAGTCTGTGAGCTTCAGATGCCCTCAGTGCCAATTAGTAAATCTAAAAGTACTGCAACAAATAAAAACCACTGGTTATCGTGGGACTATGCCTAAAAACACTAAAAAATAGATTTTACAAAAATAAAAAGCCTAAACTTCAAAAATATAAGTGTTTTCTACTTAGTCTGAGTCAGCTCTGATAGCAGTTTCTCTGATTTGGTCTCCCTTTTTATCCGTGGGGTCCAACAATGGCCTGGCTTTTATAGC